CCTTCCCCCTCCCCAGTCACTCTCCCCACCATTATCCGTGTCCTTGGGTTGTGCATATATGCATATAAATTCTTTGGTTACTCTCTCCTCCCCCGCCCCCCTCCATCCCTCTGACATTCGTCAGTCTCAACTATGCTTCCATGTCATTGAATCTATTCTACTGTCTTTTCCTCTGCTTTGGCCTAAGGCTCTTGCCTTGGTATTGCTCAATCTAAGATCTCCCTTCCATAAACATAGATTGTCTCCTTTTGACCCATGAGACTAGATCAAGGAATTTATTTCTGCACTGCTGAATGGAGCCCTCCTGATTTACTGTAAAGAACTTATAAGGGCCTTTAAGACTAAGTCACAGTTCACACAGCAATCATTCCACAGGTGCTCCTGAGAGGATGGTCTACATCATGATCTCCATCCAGGAGACCATGTCTATGGGAAAGGCCATCTCCATAAAGATGCCCTTCTGCCAGATGGAAAGGGCCACATGAGTTATTACTAATTCTTGTGCTGCTAAACGTAAGAGTACTGACTCATGAATTCGTTTCTCATGAAAAGGCCACCCACACCTGAGTGGTCATCTCAACCTATTGGAGATCTTAAGCTAAAAATCTCTGAACCCAAGACTACCACTAGGATTCTCATTCTGGGATCAAATCAGATGGTACCTGATGTACATGGCTCTCCCAAGACCCCACACCAGTCCAATAATATGCAAATCCTCCCAGCAACCCTTACATTTGGTCTTCCCTTTGACCACCTGTTTCATTTACTGATTATAAAAATGTGTTACTTTTTTGTATGATTCAGATGAGTTCACACCTTGATGGGCCTTAATCAACTATGTTACTTCTTACAGTATCTACTTAATGTGGGGAAATCCAGGGATTGTCACCACTCAATCCTGGGAAGCAGGTGTCCTTCCACTCTCGAAAACTGCTTGGGCAGTTTTCTGTCTCAAGGAATCCCAACCCCCAAACTTGGAACAACCAACCCATACTAAAGTTCCTACCCTGACCCAAACATATAGAAACCTCACATGCTCTCTTAAACACTCATGATGAATTATATGATGACTTTGTCTTCTGTGTTGACGACTATTATGATCACCCAACAATTGGGAGAACATGAAGTCCCTGGCCAATATATAGGACTTAATACTGCACTCAGGGTCTAGGCTGAAGGGCCTATTAATCACAGGCTCTCACTTGAAGGCACCATGTTTTTCTTCTTATGTGGGGCCCAAATATATGTCACCTTGTCAACCTGATGATGAGGCAGATGTGGCATTGTTAGTACCTAAGGCTGTCACCAGACTCTTCCTTCCTCTGCAATTATCCCCAATCTAGGCTCTTTTGTCTATAAACTTGGACCAAAACAAACCAAACAAAATTGGAATTTTGAATATGGTCTTTTCGGCCCTCTTCACCCCAGACTGCAAAATAGATAAGCCAGACTTTGGGCATAACTTCGCTAGAGCTTTCTTTCGTATGAAATAGTTGAACTAGAAACGTTGATCAGAAATCTATTCTTGGAGGACAATCATGGGACACTACTGCCTCTGCTCTTGACTGACCGTCTGAGGTAGCCTACAAAACCACAGGGCTCCAGGCGTGTTAGTGGCCCAAGGCAGTACATGGTACCCTACAGGAAGAGCAATGTGTTTCTATGTCAACAAATCAGGTAGTGATACAACAGCTTGAGGTTTTGAAATAAAATATTACAATCCTTGGACAGAACATTAGCCCCTAAGTTGGTACTGGACAGACTTATTTAGCTGGCTGCCTGCAGGAATAGGGAGCTGGCTTCATTCTCTATTACAGACCCTTCAGTATACTGGTTTTATTACACCGCCTGCTACATTAATTAGATGTCTTACCAGGTGCATCGAACAATCACTGACAGCCACTACCAGAATAATGGTAGTAGCCCAATGCCTAGAGATGTTATAACAAATAAATCTGAGAACATCTCTACCAAAGAACTTCAGATGTGAATGATGACTTAGCTCTGCTTTGGGCAAGCTTCCTTGTTGCTCACATGTAGCCATAAGCTCTCCTATTGTACACTCAGGGGACTTTCCCTCCTACGTGGGACATGACATACAGGAAGTGAGCCTTCCTGGAGACAAGGGATCAATGTTGCTTTTCAATGACTGACCAATGGTACTTCCTAATGGTTGGTCATCCATGCTTTCTAAGGAAAGATCTCAATAGAAAGGGGAAATGTGAAAGAAAAACAGAAAAATGGGAGTTGGTATAGTCAAGAGAACAATCGAGAATGGAGCCAGCCAGAAGGCCTCTGGGAAGCTAAGACATCCCACCCTAAATACTCAAGGTGCTCTCCAATGAAAAACTGATTCCTAAAGAGCTGAGGCCATGAAGTTATACTGACTGGTGGAATGGTTAAAGTAGTCATAAAAAGCCCAACTTTGATGCAGCTACTTTCTTAAGTTTGCTTTTGTCAGGCCATGCTACCTAAGCCAGGTTACTGGCTCCTTGAGAAAGCTACTCTCATTTCTTCAGTTACATACCTTCTTCCTGACCCAGCCTGGCTACTCATCTTTACTCAGCAGGTTTCACTATGGCAAAAGATTTAAAGAAAATCACCTCTTCCTACTGAGGCTATTCAAAAGAACTTTTATTATAAGCTCTAAAACCAGTTCCAGAAACATTTTTACATAAAAGGCGGCTCTGATTAAAAGATTTTAGACAATTCTGGTCGAATAAAGTCATGAAATTAAAATTTTTCTTATCCTAAGCTGTCATCTTATACACGCTTCTCTAAATAACGAAGCAATAGACCCTATCACAGATAAAGGTCAGCACATAAATATATATCTAGCTAAATGTAATAAAGCATTTTCTATTAAAAATTACTATAAGCATCTAGTACTATAAAGAGGGGAAAACCTAATTCTGATGAACCTATGCCCTATGGGAGAAATAACAAACACAAAATTTATAGAACTTGATGATTAAAACTGTAAGTTCTTTCCCAAAGCAACTTAAAAATTTCCTAATAAAAAAAACTTGGGTTGGGGGTACCAACCAGGGAATGTGAAAGGAAACTGAATATTCCACAGGGCCTTAAAAAAAGTCTTCTGTTTTCAGCTAGAGATACATGAAACAGATAAAATTACATATGTACCTAATTCAGGATAAGTTAACTACATTAGAGTATGAATGAAAAATGAGTTTTGGGTTGATTTGGCATTGCAGATACTGGTATGAAAACAGTATATAAATTTCCCTTTATATCAACAGTTATTGATAACCAGAGCTAAAGTTGAATTTTATTTATATGACAGGCAACAGAAAACTACAAGAATCCTAAATTAATCTAGTTAACATATTTAATACTGATGTGTAATATTTAATGCCTAATTAAAAGTAGCAAAACGTGAAATTTATAGACTTATTTAACAGATGCACAAGAAAGCCCTTTTCCCTTATTTATAATTCTTTCAACCTAATCACCTTTAATGTTGCAATTTTGGATTTAAGCAACATCCATAAACACAATCTTATTTGCTTATAAAAAGAAGTAGTAAACATTACCTTATAAATGTGCAATTTCCTAATATTCTAGATGTGAAATTAAGGCCTAGTGACTTGTTCAAGATCACATGGCTAATCAGCACAAGATTTCAGACTTTCTAACTCCCAGTTGGTGCTCTAATATACCAAAATACTTCTGGGCTAATAAACACTTGTTTAAACCAACAAACCATTACAATATTTAAGAATTTAGCCCAACAGGAATATAAAACTTTAGCACAAATATGCCTGACTTGAAACTAAACCAGATTTATATATGGCAAATAAAATACCACATATATAAAATCAAAGGCATCTATTGATTTCCAGATCGTGTTTTATCAAACTTATATACCAATCAGAAGCTCAACTTAGCACTGCTAAGTCTGGGTACATCAAAGCTTTGTAAATTTGTATGACATTTCCTCTATATAGATAGGAGTTACTAGGCCTAACTTAATCACTCTCCAATCTTTAACAGCAATTTCATATTATTTCTCAGAATATTTGTACTCTTTTGAAAGAATGATCATTGAAAAACTTAGCAAAGTAACTAAGATGACAGGTTCATGAATAGCAAAGTGTCTCTGAATTTAATGCTTATAGTAAACTATTTCTCAGTATCAACAAGATCCTTCAAAAGGAGACTTATCTGTCAATAACAATTAAAGATGAGCAATCTAGAAAGCATAAAATAGTACAAAAATGAAATACTAACTGAATAAAACAGAGGATTTTGTGGTAATATTTTCTGTGCAGAAAAAACTATCGTGGAGAGACTTGCACATAATTTTAAAAAGTAAACTAATTACCAAGTGTCAGAAAGCTGGTAAAGCTTCCATGCTACATAAAATTACCTCTTAAATTTAACCAAGTAAAAATTCCTGCTATTCAATCATATGGCAAGATATCCTGAAGCAAATAGTTTCATGAATCCTCAGAAAAAGAGAAAATTAAGGCTAAAAAGATCAAACACCAAGTGTTCATCAAACCTTTCAGTCAACAGAGCCTTTATTAACATGCAAGTATCATTTGCCACAAGATATACAAGTTTTCCTAATCTCTCAATTCTTTTTCAATATTTTAACTTAAGGTTACTTGTGGATCTAACATAAAAAGTAACCTACTAAAATCGGTCAAAGTTAAACTTGATTCTAGCTATCACCTTAAACTTTAAGATTATTATTTAGGTTTATAATTGACATTATTTGTCATCAAGTAACAGAGTGTAATTCTTGTACTTGATAATCTTCTATACTAAAATATGTACCAGTATGTCTTCAGAAGTTACTAAAATATATGCAATTAACATATATATTTAACTGCTTTCAATAAGCTGGAAAGTACAATGTTAAGTCTTCTAAGAGGAAAATTATTTATAGATCTTGGTTGTTTGTGATTTTTGCAGTTTCCAGAAAAACTGGTCCACATTAAACCAGTCTTGAAGAACTAAGGTGAAAACTTATAGACCCTAATGACAGCTTTGATTTACTAAGAGGAACAATAATAAACCAAACTACAGGGCTCTTTTCCCAGGTCTAAGCAGAGACTCTATCATAGTTTTTGAAAATTTTTTCTCTGCTTAGTATCAAAGTTGGAATGACCTCTTTATAAGCAAGATTTCAGTAGAAGACCCACAGATGATGGGCATATTTATTGGGACATATTTTAATTAATAGAAGATAATTCATATACTATATCAAAGTGCATTATAAGATTTGCACTACATCTCTCCACATGTCTGTCATATTTATAACATTTCAGTTGGATGCAGGAAGACTGGAATAGTTCAGAAAAGTCTAGCTTTTAAGATTTGGGTAAAGTTCATAGTGAGTCTTTTAAAATATTTAAATAACCAGAAGTATAATCACAACAAGGGACTATGTAAAAAAGAATGAATACTGCAAAGGAAGCTTTATAGTTAATGAAAATACAGTACTTTGGATTGGCCAAAATGCACAGTACACATGAAATCAAGGTCATGTAGTTTACTTATTGACCATGCGGCTACAGTTCAAAAAGCTACTGCTTCAACAGCTGTACCTAGTAATCTTTCAAATTGCTCTTAAATAAAGTTCTTAAATTGTAGCAAGAACAAAAAGATAAGATACACTTAAACAATACTGCAGTTTATCAAAAGACACATAAGAAATTTCAACTCTTATGTCTTTGACAGTTGTAAAAATCAATATTTGGCTAAGTTATAAACATGTTTATAATTCAATTATCTGCATAATTCTAGTAATGCTAATGACGGCTCTAAGACCAGAATCGGTTTAAAAAAAACACTAAAAACATAAAAATACGTAGCCCCAATATTTACCTGTAGAATATGTTCATTTATGACTAAATTTCAGCATTTACTATATCACCACTGCTCTAATTTTAAAAATCACATCCAAAGGATAAGGCAAAACTACCTAGGAACTGGCGTATTTATTTCTCAATTTGTGAAAATGTCCTTAATCTGTTGATGTAGCAAACAAATTTCAGCTCTGCTATGCAAAAGAAGAGATGGTGGTCTGCTTTGCAATGAACTTTAAAGTTCAATCGCACACAGGCAACATGCTATATATGAAAAAATTACTAACTGAACTACAGATATTAAATACTGAAAAAAGTTAACAGTTTATTATAATTTATTTTATTTAACAATCTAGGAAGTTCGCGGCCATCAGCAGTTCCAGTGCAATTTCAGGTGCAATTGGGAATTCAGGAATCTCCGTGGAGCTGTTAGTGTAGCGAACCTTGTAAGTAAAATACATGCATACTTTTGATAGCACATGTGAAGGGATCTCTCTAAAATTGACTTCATTAGTTTCGTTCTCAGCAAACTGACCTATAAAAGAAAAAGAGATATGTTTGTTACGGGCTGAAGTGTGTTCCTCCAAATTCATACGCTGAAGTCCTTAACCCCCAGCACTCCAGAACGTGACTGTATTTGGAGATGGGTTTTTTTGTTGTTGTTTTTCCTGTTCAGGAAACATTTTAAATATGGAATGCTTCACAAATTCGCACGTCATCCTTGCACAGGGCCCATGCTATCATTCCAATTTTAGTATACGTACTGCAAAAGTGAGCATAGAGACAAAAACTATGACAGGGTCTTTAAAGAAGTAATTAAGGCAAAACAGGATTTATTAGGGTGGGTCCTAATCTGATACTACTCGTATGCTTGTAAGAGGAGATTAGGTCACAGATGCAAGCAGAAGGAAGACACAGGGAGAAGGCCATCTAGGAGACAAGCCTCAGAAGAAACCAACCCTGCTGACACCATAATCTTGAATTTCTACTCTTTCAGGTTCGATTCCGGTTAAGGGCACGTACTTTGGTTACAGGCTCGATCCCTGTGTGTGAGAGGTAACCCATTGATGTGTCTCTCTCGCATCGATGTTTCCCCACCCCCCCTTCCACTTTCTCTAAAAAGCAATGGAAAAAAATATACTTGGTGAGGAATAAAAAAGGAAAAAAGATACAGAAGCCAACATGATGTGGCTCCTTCTGGCATAAAAATGGGAGGAATCTGAGCATCAGTGAGTGACTGCACTGGATGAAGAACCATCATAAAGTCATCAGCTGATAATGATATGCAAAACCAACCAAATAAAACCCCCCAAGCTACTGGAGGATGCTGGAGAACCAATTCCTCACTCTAAAAAATTGTATGTAAAGGGGGGAAAAATTAAGCATTTTATCGTTTCTTTCCTGTAGAAACTGTATTTCAGGATAACCAAATAGTTCTTTAAAGGAGAATTCTAATTAATAAATTCAGAAGAAATTATGCAATTAGAAAATCAGTTTTGTAATTCCATATGAAGTATATACCTCAGCAATAATCACAATGAATGCTAAAACCATTATATGAAAGTCTGACTGGGGAATTGTTCATGGATGAATCAGCTTGATAACCCTGGCACCACAAATCAAACTTGACGTTGCTAAAAGATGTGTTACAATAGGATACAATAGTGCGACCTATGAAGTATTCTTGCCTAGTAAAATGAACCAGGTTCTCAGCAAGCATCTGGAATTCTAATTATGAGTTTACAAGATGAAACATTAAGCCTAATCAGGGTGTGGACATTATATAAATAACCTTGTTTCTTTGTAAAACTGATGGTCTGGAAAAAAAGGAGCGTGAAGGGGGACTATCAAAGATTTTGTAAGTGAAATGACAATGTCAGGGATTTGCCTGAAATAAGCTTTAAAAAGTGGGAATAATAGATGAAATGATATTGGCAAAATGTAGGTAACTCCTGATGCTGTGTACATGAAAGTGTATTATTCTTTCTACTTCCATGTATGTTTTTAAATCTCCATAGTAAAAAGAATATAGAAAAGGAATTGCAAGGGACCCTAAATAGCCAAAACAGTCTTGGAAAAAAAAAAGTTGGAGGCCTCACACTTCTCAATTTCACAACTTAGTACAAAGCTACAGTAATCAAAACAGTTTGGTGCTGGGATCAGGACAGATATGTAGCTCAATGGAAGAGAATTAAGAGTCCAGAAATAAACCCACACATTCAACAGGACAAAGAATGGTCTCGTCAGCAAATTGTATTGGTATATCCACATGTGAATGATAAAGTTAAATTATTACCCTATACCATGTACAAAAATTAAGTTAGAATCAAAGATCTAATTGTAAGAGCTAAAATCATAGAACTCTTGTAAGAAAACATAGGGGTAAATCTTCATGACATTGGATTTGGCAATGGATTTTTAGACAGGCCTCCAAAAAACACAAACACGAACAGGGATAAAAGATAAATTGGGTTTCACCAACAAAAAAACTTTTATTCATTAAAATATACTACAACCTACAGAATGGGAGAAAATATTAGCAAATCGTGTATCTGATAAGAATCTAATGTCAGAATTTATAAAGAACTCTTACAATGCAACAAAGGAAAAGACAAACAACCCAATTAAAAAAGTGGACAATAGACTTGAAGAGACATTTCTCCAGAGAATACACAAATAGCCAGCAAGCACATGAAGAGAGATATTCAACATCATTAGTCACCAGGGAAATGCTATCAAACCACAATGACATACCACTCATACCCATTAGGATGGCTAGAACTAAAAAACTGCAAATAAAAAGTGTCAGTGAGGATGTGGAGAAAACCACGAGGAACCCTCAGACACTGCTGGGAGGAATGGAAAATGGTTCAGCCACTGTGCAGTTTGGCATTTCCTCCAAAAAAAGTTAAACATAGAAATTACCATATGTTCCAGAAATTCCAATCTTCAAGAAAAATTCTGGTAAAAAAATTACCTCAGAGAAAATGTTAAGAATAGATATTTGGGAGGTGGTAACTTCCATAGATAAACTTTCGAAGCGGGAGCACAAATCTAACTAGGAGCACAAATCACCAGAGGCCTGTGTTGGAGAAGCTGACCATGGAAACTAACCTAGGGAGATGCTCCTTCCTATTACAAAGTAACCAACTGGGTCTTATTGAAACTAGGGTAAGCAGCTAAAAACAGATATGGCAGAAAACAACTTTTCCCCAATGCAACATAATCATGCAATGTTCAAATAGTTGCTGTCTCTTTTAAATGCTTTGAGTAATTTAATTCAACTTAAAAAAACATTCATCAAACATTAAAGGTGAAGATATATGAAGAGAAAATAAAGAAGTGTTCCTACCTGGGCCACTCAACATGGCTTTTATTGTTCCCGATGTTAATGCATGTTCTCTTTTTACAATAAATTCATGACCATCTGAAGATATCAATTTGACATACATGGCATCAGGGCCTTCACAGCCACCATAGGTTTTCTCTTCTCCATCTAAATAAAGTAGTAAAATGATTTCTGAATCACAAAATTTATTAACAAATAGGTTTACCAAGGTTAATATTGAGGAACTGAGATCAGAAAGATTTCTGGGGGCTCATAGCTACCAAGATTTTAAAGTTTTTAAACTTATTATTCTTGACACATTTTCCAATGTCAGAATAAAGCTACATTCAAGCATGTTACTTTGGAGGAAAATTTGCCAGTACTTTTCAAGGAAGTATTAACAATATGTTTGTGACCACAGCAGCACATTCAAATTTGAAGACTAAAACAAAATATTCAAACAGTAAAACTTTAGCTCTGGCCAGTGTGGATCAGTAGGTTGTGTGCTGTCTCGTGTACCAAAAGGTTGCTGGTACGATTTCAGGTCAGGGCAAATGCTTGGGTTTCGGGGTGATCCCCAGTAGTGGTGTGCAGGAGGCAGCAGATCCATGTTTCTTTCTCATCGTGTTTCTTTCTCTCCCTCACCCTTTCTCTCTCTCTAAAAATCAATTAAAAAAAAAAAAAAAACTTAAAAAAAAAAAGAACTTTAATTCTATCACTTAAAATACTCATTTAAAAAATAAGATGTATAGTGTGTTTGTGAATGTTTATATGCCATGTGAGCTCAATTTCTGACAAGCTCAAATTCTAAATGTCAGGGCTTCCTTTACTCAGCATTTTACTCTTGATCCATAAAAATAGTTGTAAAAATTTTTTATTGCTCAGTTTAACTTATTGCACAATGAAAGTAATGAATACAGACAAATGTCAATCTTTAAACACTGAAAGTGGAGGGGAGGAGATGGAATGTGTAGATGTCACCTGCTACCAGCTACCCCCACTGCCGCCATGCTGGCCTCAGCCACGGTAGCTAGCTCAATACAACTTTTTGGGGGAGTATGTATGTTTGCATATCCCTTTAAGATCTTTCTCACATACATAACTTTTACAAAATTGTACTGAGAATATTTTAATTTTTATGGTTACCAGTATCTGAAAAAAAGTTTCTTATGGCTTATTCTAAAAATTTAGGGAGCCCTAGAGAGAAGTACAAAGGATGAGGCTGAAGTAATGTTCAGCTACTAACACCCATTTACTTATTTATTTCTTAACAGTTAATTTAGATATCCCTAAAATTAATAAATATCAAAATTACTTATGTACTACTGCTGCCCAAAATGTCTACTCTGAATATAGTAGGAGAAAACACTGAGATAAATCTAAATTTAAAATGCCATGGAAGACTTCACTCCTCACCCCCACCCCCAGATAGGAAACTGTTTAAAGGAGTCTAAAGAGACAAATTAATGCAATAAGTGATCCCTGATTAGATCCTGGATTTAAAATAATAAGCCTGTTATAAAAGAACACTATTGAAACAACTGAAAAACTGTTAATATGAACTGAATACATGCTGACATATTTAGGTGTGTACAACTAAATCTTAAATGATAGATAAAAAAGCATTTTTATGTTTATGTGTGTATATACACATGTATATATGTTTGTGTATATATACACATGTATATATGTTTGTGTGTGTATATAAACACACACACGGAAAGCAAATGTGGCAAACAGTAACAAAAGGTAAAGGTTATGTAGTGCACTAGTTTTGCAATTTTTTATTACAAAAAGCTGGGGGACTTGTAAAGATGCAAATAGCTTCTAAGTTATAGACTATCCAAGCATACAGGTTCTTAGCAGTTCTTGACAATTTCTATTATCAATTATTTAAATAACTGATATTAGAATAATTATCAATTATTTAATTTATACTTCTAGTATTTTTTGCAAGCTAAACCATTTTATATATCTGTTGGAAAAGTTTCTAATATCTTAAGATACAATTACTAGGAATCACAAATTTTATTTGTACAATAACGTTACTGATCTTTCAAGACTATACAGTAAACATAAGCTGTTGATTTAAAACAATTACCTGCAATCTGCTCTGACCATTTTCTAACTTGCATTTGCATTCACTGATATTGAAGGCCTATCTTTGAGAGCAAAAAGCAGCTTCTACTAGTTGAAATACTTACCCGTTATTTTCTTATGAAACTTACCCATTATGTTCTTATGAAATTCTACTTCGCTTCCACAGGAAGTTTAGTAGTTTCCTGAAAATATAACAATGCTATATTAAGACTAATGATGAAATAACATGTTTTTCATCCATTATTATTTAATGTCCTCGGTGTTACAAGTTTAAGGACTCCCCCCTGCCCCCATCTCCACCCTCTGCTAAGCAGGAATTTCCCAGCCACCACACTATGGAACAGTATCTAGTTTCTGAATATCTGAGAAAAGATGATCACCTCCAGGACAAAAAAGTCAAAATACAGATTTGTTTCCTCCACACCTCCCCACCCCCCTTAAGACAACTATTCTAACAACAGTTTAAAAACACAGATGCTGTTTGTTAGGACCTAAGCTGAATTTGAAAGAGATCCTTGGCCTCAATCGTCTTCATATATATACTGTATCTACTTGATTCTGGTAGACACTAAAACATTTGCTGAATAAATGACAACATGATAAATCCAAGGACATGAAGTAGCTTTCATGGAAATGAAAAAGACAAAGTTTGCCCTCTTATGTAAATGTGCACATCTATAATAAATCTTACTGCTTCGTTTGTTCTCCAGACAGGCTACCCAAGTTTTGAAATTTAACAGTACAATGGTAAAAATTCATAATTTTTGGAGAAATCCTAAATTTTATAAAATAAGATGACTGCTAAATGAAAAGGGCTCATGTTTTCAGTAATTTGTATTTTAACAGCATTTCTTCAAAGGAGGATTTTATTAATACCAGTATTATTTTTTTATGTCACTATCAGGAAAACAGCATATCCTTATTATCCTTTTCTCTAAGAAATTCCTGACTAATATTTTAATTCCAGCCTTAAGGGAAGGGTCAAAAAATGAACCACAATATTTTAGAGCAAGAAGGGAATTTGGAGATAACCTATATCATCCTCACCTTAAAAAATGGTAACATCACTGATGTATAGAGAAGATGAATGACTTGTTCCAGGTAGTGATGGAATGGAGCAGAAATCAAATGTTAGTCTAGAAAACTGGCTCAGCACGGAGGGAGATATTTAAAGTACTGTTTCTAATGGGAGAGTAAGGCAGTAGAGGCAATGTAGCATTATTACCAACAATTTAAGGGCCTGGTAAGCGGCAAACACTTCATTAAATGCCTTATACTGTCTTAATTTAAAATAACATTTTCGCAAAGGAATTACTGTTCCCATTTTAAAGATGAGGAATCACATAGAGGCTGCTACTTGCTCAAGGTCTCTCCAGCTTGAGTGGCAGCCTGAGGATGTACACCTATGTAGGCAGGCTTTATAGCCCACACTCCTATTACTCCGCACTGCCGTGGTAAAGCATTCGGCTCCCGTCAAAACTACTATCCACTATGCTGAGAGCTGCTGATCGATTTCCTTAGATCATTCTCTCAGGTTTAAAAATGGCACTATGTCATTTTATGAGAATAACAGTTGGCAATTAAAAATTCATCAGTCATTATTTTCTTCTGTTCATACGACTTTGTAATCACTCCTCTAACAAACAAAAAGCAAAAGAACAAAAAAGGACAAAATGCTAGAAAAACTAGAACAAGAATTTCAAGTGCCAACTTTTCTATCTGGAAAATTTTCAGAGCAAAATATCCAGAATGTTTACTTAACTAGTAGTAGCTAGGCAACCAGGCAAAGTGACATCATAGAAGCCCTTTGGGTAGCGACAGTTTCTCCACAGACTTCTTAATATAGTAAATCAGTTCCAGCATTTATGCAAGGGTTAAAGGGGGAGAGGGAAGACTCACTAACAAAGAGTATATCAACAAGAATTAAGAGTAAATTTTAATCCCTAGGTAGAAGGGAAAATATTTGAAGTATGATTACATTTGGACTTAACTCACAAATTACATACAGAAATCTAAGTTTGGGGTGGCAAGTCTCATTTCGAACATTTGCGCATCTATTCCATAACTGGGCTGTTACGGAAATATGAATTAGGCAGGTAAAAACAAGTGGTCAAGGAGCAGTGGGCTGAGAGTAGGTCTAGGCAAGAAGACACAGTGTGAATAAAGACCTGACTAAGACGTGATTGTGCTCTTAGAATATTATATATAAACATTACTCTTTTATAGTTTTTTTCATTTTTTGGTAACAAAGAGAAATTCTAGGTGAGCTCAGGGCCTACAAATGAAATCAGTTTTGAATCTAGTATTGAACACTGAAAAGATCTTTGAAAAGCCCATCATATTTCTGATTTGAAATTTTACTTTTCATATACTATATTGCTACATGGATTTCTATTCTGTTCCATCAACCTGTTTATACCTGACCAATATCCCCAATGTTTTAAATAGCCCGATAAACATGTTTTGCTCAATGGTTGGGCAATTCCCTTTTTGTTATTACTACTTTTGCGTATTGTTTCTACTATGAATAGAATCTGTTTCCCTATTATAGTTTCTGAAAGGTTACCGCTGGTATTTTAAATCTACTTTTTTTTTACATTGGATATTTACCTGGAAAAAATGTTAATGTCTGACATTACTCACAAAATACACTGTAGGTCAAAGTACCAAATGTAAAAACACCACTCTGGAAAAATAGCTAAAAAAAAAAATACAAATGGTTCACAGATCTGTAAAAAATGCTCCGTCTCAGTGGTAAGCAGTAAAATAAATGCAAGTGTAAATATTTACACTTGCTAAGAATCAGTGTTGGAGGGGAGGGGAAATGGGTGATACCAAATAAACAACACACTAGTTTTGGAAGGCAGCAGCAGAATAGTCAGGAGGGTAGCAATCTTGGTATCTATTTTAGAGAAACCCAGCATTTGTGTACAAAGGCAACTAGGTTCTTTACTATAATATGTGTACAAAAGAAAAACTGAAAATACCCTAAAAGATTCACCAATTAGGGAATGAGCTAAATAAAAACAGTATGTCTGTACTTACAAAATATTATGGGGCAGTGAAAAGGAAAAAGTTAAATCTATATTTGTAATGACATGGAAATACCAAGATACAATTACAGTTTACATTCAATATTATTTTGTATTAGTTTCAGGTGTACAGCATAGTGGTTAGGCAATCATATACTTCACAAAGTGTTCCCCCCAATATTTCCAGTACCCATCTGGCACTGTAGTTATTACAATAGTACTGACTATCTTCCCTATTCTGTACTTTATATCCCCATGCCAAGAGAAACTGCTTATTTTTTAAAAAGCAGATTAGAATGCTAGCGTGTAGTTTGCTGCCATTATGTAAAATAAGTGACTTCTTACCTTAATTACCTCATGTTTTTTGCAGATAAATGAATGCATAAAAATACATGTTCAGAAGTGTAAATAAACATAACTACAAAACTATGAATTAAAACTGATTTTTAAAAAGCAACAAATAAGCACATAGAACCAAACGGTGCATGAAGGGGACAATGGTCAGTAAACCTGATGATTGTTAACTATATGTAATACAATTAACTTGCAAAACAAAGTAAATTACATTAACCAAAAATTATCTAATCTTCAGGTCTATATGAAGAGGTGTGGGCCATATAATACAAATTGGTAGAAGTTAGGAAACAATTCCAACTTTTTTTTTTTTTTTAATAAATATACCTTTATTGATTTCAGAGAGAGGAAAGGAGAGGGGGAGAGAGAGATAGAAACATCAATGATGAGAGAGTCACTGATTGAGCCCGCAACACGGGCATGTGCCCTGACCGGGAATCGAACCCCAATATAGCCTGGATCCCAGGTTGATGCTCAACCTCTGAGCCACGCCCGGCTGGGCCACAATTCCAACTTTTAACAAGATATCAAAATATCTTGCCTAGCGTGTGCTTATAGTGTTACAGAATGCATGTCTCTGAGGATGAGCTAAAATCCTCATTCTGGCCATTCAACTTATAACAATGCTCCTATATTTAACTCTTAGGTAGACAGTTTTAATACTTTTAGTGAATAGTACCCTTTTCCATCTTCTCCTCCACAGTGGAATTTATAGTTTTCTCCACTAATAGATACAAATGTTTCACAGCTGCCTTATTAGTGAGTGTGTCCTTTTAGATCTATCTGTCATCCTAACTAGCTATGCTTCCACAAGGCAGGGAGGCTCTCTCTCTTTATGATCCACATATCCAGCACACAATGGTAATTATGTGGTCATGTTAACAGACATGTTAACCCACCACAGACATAGACAGTATCCTGAGCTTTCCAACAAAATACAGATATTCAATGGCACCACACTTTTGACTAAGACTGATTCTTTTCATATTTTTCCTTGATGTTGGCCTTCAACAAATTTGGAACTTTCGGACAACCACAATAAAAACTGTTCTTTCTAGGAAACATCTCTTTAAGTTTACTGAAATATTCTGGTTTATACTGAGGGAAGGGAGTGACTAGGGAGATGGTATTCTATCTTTCACAATAGAATTAAATCAATATGAATTCTAATTTAAAAAAACATATGTATCTTTATTGATTTCAGAGAGAGGAAAGGAGAGGGAGAGAGACANATAGAATTAAATCAATATGAATTCTAATTTAAAAAAATATATGTATCTTTATTGATTTCAGAGAGAGGAAAGGAGAGGGAGAGAGACAGAAACATCAATGATGAGAGAGTCACTGATCGGCTGCCTCCTGCATGTCCCCGACTGGGGATCAAGCCCGCAACCCAGGCTTGTGCCCTGACCGGGAATCGAACCCCAATCGCCTGGACCCTAGGTCGATGCTCAACTGCTGAGCCACGCCCAGCTGGGAAGAATTCTAATTCTTAAAGTAACTTTATCTTAAAGACTTCCAGGGCATAAACACATTTTATAAAATTATGATAACCAAAATGTCAGTCTCACAATTTTGCACCCACTATCATAAATTGTTAATTATAATACAAGTGTATGAAACATATATTCCTGTACATACGTGATTTCTGGAATTTCATGTTTCCTACAACTAATTCAGTTATCTTCGAATTTCTATCTTGAGACCCAAATAGGTTAAGTGATAAGACTTCTGTTTCTTTACCTTCTAACTGCAAAAAAAAAATGGGATAAATTGTGTCTTAAAGTCCCTTCCAGCTCTACCATTTCATGACTGAACCCACTGGAAATTCATCTTCTCTCTACAATAAATGCCTGAACTCCCAATTTCCCATCTTTCTTAAGCAGAGTGCTCCCACACAGTAGAGAACAATCCGGCTCCAGCTTGCGTTCCTACTGAATCTATCTCACCCCTGGAAACTACCTAATCTCCCTTAGACAATGATCTCCAAACTCCTTTGTTTTGGTTTAAAAAGTATGAGCAAATATTACAGTATAACTTCAAAGATTTTCCAGGTTATTTTCTAGTACTGCAAAAACTACCAAGAAATCCCAAACAAGCCTTTTATAAGACATAAACTAATACTACTTTAGAACTTGATATATAGAGCTACTTATAACTTCTGACTACAAACTATTGCCTAATTATATTACAAAATTATCATAAGGTAATGAAACTGGCATCCTCCATTTGAAATTTATATATATTTACATATACTATATATATATATATTTGGAATGGTAGATAATTATATTTGTCTTTTTATATTTATTTGTTCATCCCATGTTTCACTGTGCTTTATCCCTAACTCCCTGACCTCCTCCAAACCAATTCTCTGCCTAGCTCAGGCGTCAACCAAAGAGCTGAATGTGGCTGGAGAAAAGACAACCATTTTGGCTGGTCTTAACTTTTAAAAAAAAATTTTTTTTAAAAAATATATTTTTATTGATTTCAAGAGAAGAAGGGAGGAGGAGAGATAGAAACATCAATGAGAGAGAATCACTGATTGGTTACCTCCTGTACACCCCCTACTAGGGACTGAACCTGCAACCCCCTTACGTGCCATGATGGGAATCAAACCTTGACCTCCAGGTTCTTGGGTTGACGCTCAACCACTGAACCACATTGGCCGGGACGGCTGCTCATAACTTTAACTTTATGTCCACATGCTTTATGTAGGAACTTGGCATTGTATTGATCCTAGCAAACTGGTTTTATTACTCTGAGAAAATTTACAGCTTCCTTGAAACCTCCAATATCCCTCTCCTCCTTGCCCTGACCACTTATTTCATCAAAAAAAAAAAGAAAGAAA